TAAGTAATAATAATATAATAATACTGCAACTGTATATTTGAGCAGTACGATTGCAAGGGAAATTACTGTGAATTCTTGATTTACTGTGAGCAGAGAGGTACTGCTCAGTTTTCATGAGATGCTTCTCAACTGGAAATACTCAAATTTTGTCCAGAGAATCCCTTTCCCGGCTATCAAAGACAGTGCTATTACATTGTTGAGAAGACTTTAGGAACTGCTCTTTTCTGCTTCTGTTAGTAAGTCACAGTAACAATGTTGTGGACAGTTTTATATTTTAATTCTTCAGTCAGTATTATCAGTCATGCAGTTTTAAGAATGGAGTAAGTTCACCAGTAAGGGTAAAAGTTGGAAAATGTGTTAACATTTTATTCTCTTTCAAGGTATTGTGTATATATTGGCACAGGCTTGACACAGTTTCTAACCTTCTTTAATTTCAATCATTTCCTATGAATTTTATAATTAAGATCTGCACATAGGAGTCAACTCACATATGGAGATGCTAATACCATGTCTGCAAGTGTAGGAATACAGCAGTGTGTTTTTTGTACTTGCAGTTAAATGCATATATAAAACTGTAGACATAGGTTAAAAGAAAAAAAAAAGTGTTCAGAAAATCATTCCTTTAAAGTTATTTTCAGTGTGTGATTATATTGCATTAACATTTGGATCTCTTAGAAGTTCTAAGAGATGTTGATAACTGTGTCATCGAGTTCACTTTCCTGTTCCAGTAATGGAATGCAATTGTGAATTACCACAAACACAGTACATAGCAAATATTTCTTGAGAGCTTTGATGACCTAATTTATATTTCTGCTCACTGAGTATTAGACTGTAGTGATTGGATTCAACCTTTGGCAGCTCATTTCTCTGTCTTCTTGGTAAAAATATTTTCTCACTTACCTGTTTTAGACCTAACACACATCCCGAACATGCTTTGGGAATCCAGCTTATCTTCAGCTTGTAACTTTTACATTTGGAGGCTAGTGCAGTTCATATATATATACACATATATATAGTGAAGAGCTAGGTGTTTGAATTCCAGATTCATTAAAAAATAAATTACCAGCTCAGGTTCTGCCTTCTGCAGATATTTAATTAAAACTCACATGGTGAACTGAGTCCAGAAGGCCTTCAAAGATAGCAACTCTGGTGATTTGGGGTAAGTTACACAGACTGATATGGGATTCCCTGGGCAAAGTTCTCAGCAATTCTGTATTACCCAGAAGTAATGTTTCACCCAGAAGTATTCATACAGCAGTCACCCTCATTAACTCATGATCTACAAAGTACAGAAACTCTTATTCTCAATGATATGCTCAAGAAGAAAGAAGAATGCAGTCAACATGATTGGACTAACAATGTTGGATATAAAACAAGCAAAAGCAAACAGAAATGGTAGGGTCTAAGCTAAGAAAATGAAATGATATGGCCAAGTTCTGCCATTCCTTCAGTTTGATTGTCAGTTCTGGTGGGATATGGCAGGTTTAAGCTGGAGGTCTTGGAAAGGGAATACAATATTTGGTCAAAAGGAGTCATGTTGTCATGAGGTTCAACTGGAATAATTAAAAAACACACAAAATATTGCTGTGTATTTTATGCACTGAAAACAAAACTGGAACTAAATGAAATTTGAAACTTCCTCTTTAGCTTCACTGCCCAACCTTGAGGCTTGTAGTAAACCTTGAGCAGTGTGCTGTCCCTGGACTGGCCACAAGGAAAAGTGTAACATAGCCTGTTCTACAAATTCCTTTTCGTTTATATAGGAGTACCAAGTGTATATAATGCCAAGTGCTGGATGGTGGGAAGGCAAAAGGTAGTGAGCATATCAGACGTAGGGCAGCTGGTCCCCTCTGTTCCATAACTTGCAGTGCAAATGAATTGGCATAGGGAGTGAAAAGGCATCTTGCAAACCTTGCTTTTCTGCTTCTGCACAGCTTTGACAGCTGAATCATGTTTCATGTGAATTGCAAACCCTTCTTCCTTCACTGTAAATGGGAGTAAATTAAATCAATTACATCTAAGACATAAAAATAAAAACCCAGCTATTGTAATGCGGCAGTAATAACAACCAAAAAAGCAGATTTTATCAGTTTATCATAATCATTTGTATTTTGAAAGAAAATACCATTTACATAATTTGAAATACAGTTTATATGTGTAATTAGCAACATTCAGTGAGCCCAAAAGTACTTGGAGATTCTGTTAAGCATCTCAGTGCTCGCTGATTATCTCAGCTATATGATATTATTCTCCTCTTTATACTTCACTGCAATCCCTGCTGTCTATTTCCTTGGCAATCAGATGCTTCTCTTTGTTCCTCTGACTCTCAGCAGGGTTCCTCTCCATCCTCCAGTGCCTGTGAGATCTGAGTGCTTATCATGCTGCACTTAGGTATAATGTTACCTCTCTAATTTCCTGCACAAAACTTCTGGAGGCTTATCTGCTGCATTTGGATGCTTATATGAAATTTTTGGATTGATATATATATTTTCTAAATGAAATCTCTAGGAAAAATAATAATACCAAGTACCACTCCAGCATTTTTAGTCACTTTTCTGCTCCAACTTTATTAGGATATGGGTTTATAGAACTAAATTTTGATTCTTACCGTTTTTTACTTACATATTTATTTTACATTTGAAATAGGTTTTCTTAATTAACTTCAAGGCTCTCCAGAACAGTTTTTCTCTTAAAGCCACAAACACAGATCATCCAGTTCACTATAAGGCCATGCTCTGTAGTTACATGTCTGGAAGTCCTCTTCTTTAAAAAGAGAAAGGGAAATACACAGATGGTTCTCTGTATAAGCAGAGAAAATTTGTAGAAAGATTTAGAAAGAAACCACATATCTTTCGTGAGACCAAAATAAATTTGAATGCAAAATAAGTAGTTTCCCACTCTAAGAATTTTTGTAAATTCTGTAAAATTATTTGCCTTACTCTCAGTATGTGAGCATCAGTTCCATTATAAATCCAAGCTGAATTTGAAGCAGGGATCCTTACCATGCAGACAGGTGAATGGAACTCTCAAAAGTTAGTTTCTCCAGTCAGCACTTTATATCTCTAACACTTTGTATTGGCACTTCCTATTAGGACACTGATTTTAAATGAATAATACCTTGCTGATAACCCCCAGTATGTTGATGTAAGCCATCATTCATTGCATAAACACAAGAACTGTGGTAAATGGTTCTAGATTATCTGGTTATGGGGGATATCACACTTTGCTGTTGTATATAATCAAAGGGTCAGTGCATTAGGAGAAGAATGGTGGACAAAAAAGAAAGCCATAAAAGAGAGGAAAATATAGTAATTAAAACCTATGGCTGAGTCAATAAGTTTTTTTCTTCTTCTTTTGGTCCTTTTTTTTTTAATTTGTTACTTTTTTAAACATGATAAAAATATCAGTAATCCACTAGGATACCATAATACCTCTTGGCATGTGTGAGATGTACAAAACTGCAGACAGGAGCCACTTCCAAGATTTACATAAATGGAGAGAAGCATTTTATGATAGTGTAAGCATGACGTGAACTTTTAGTATGTCACCTACTAAGTAGTCTGAATCCATGTATGAATTATTATGGGACAATTTAAAAGTTTAGAATTAATTCTTCAGCTGTGTGGGATTAATGCTTTGTTGTGTTGGTGATTGTACAAGTGTAAAAGGTATTTGATTTTTGCAGCAAAATTAAAGTGGATGTTCAAAGAGAACATTTCTTCAAAATCTTTCTCTAGCACTGCCATACTGCATGTTTTTTTTTTTTTTAACTGATCTGAATTTCTTTCTAAATAAATTAATTTAAGATCATGTCCTGTTTCGCTTCTGACATTGAACAGCTGTCAGGTGATGCAATATTTCTGTAGTTAGCTTTTCTGGATATTCTGCAATAGGAAGCCATGAGTATCTACCATTACAGTTTCCATGAATCCTTGATTACTTTGAGGAAAAGTTCTGATTCTTTATTTAGTAAATAAGCCTTTCCTAACTGATTAGAAAGAAAGAATCATGGGAATATGAGTTTAGATATTTTTTTCTCCAGGCATATACAAATTATGCTGTTTATCAGAAGAGCTAAACGAGTTGTTGTATTGGCTTCATCAAATTTTCTGATTTTTTAACAATACACTTCAAAGACAAAAACCATCAGCGACATAACCAAGCTATTATAACACTGCTATTATAAGGAAAAAAAAAAAAAAGTAAAATAAATCATTTTGACCAGTAGGTCTGGGGAAGTGGATTTCAGTCTTCCCAATGAAATCTCCTGGGTGAAATTTTGTGCCAAAATGATATGTTTCCTACAGAACTCTGACTAGAAGACACTACCAGGTTAGTTTTCTAGTAGCAGTTTATTTAGAGTAGTGCTTTGTATGAAAGTTGAAATTCATGCCTAAACTAGGATTTATTAAGAATAGAGATCTTCTAAATAACCTTGAAAATAATTTCCAGATGCCGGTGGAGGGTTTAGATTTTTCTTAGGTTGTGAAGTTGCTTTATACACAAGATTGTTTTATTGAATCCTGAGATATATTCTTTTTTTTTTTTCATAGGATGAGCCTGTTGTGTGTTATGCTGGTATTATTTGTATATAGTGTTCTTTCACATAGTGATCGATACTTTTCTTAGGCATTTTATTTAAATGTTTCTACTTTATTTAGAAGAGCTTGCTCTTGTATGATCTAAAAACATAAATTAAAAATATAAATTACAAGTAAACTTGTTCAGCTCTTAGTTTCTTCAGTAAAGGGAGATTGGTACATGTAAACTGAACTAAGGATATGTATTTAAATATAGCTAATGACACTCTTCTTTGTTCCTTTTTACATTACCATTTTATAAAAAAAAGCATAAAGAAGTATGATTTTTTTAAAAAAAATGTAGTTTATTGTAGCATGGAACATGACATGATGTAGAATATCTCTTATTATATGCTGCATAGACAGCATACATTGGAACAGCAAATGCTTTTATTTCTTTCTTTTCTTCTCTCTTTACAGATGGACCCAATTCAAAAAGCAGTAATAAATCATACATTTGGGGTTCCTCTTCCTCATCGAAGAAAGCAAATCATATCATGCAACATTTGCCAGCTGAGATTTAATTCTGATGTAAGTCTATCATTTAATATCAGATTAGAAATATGTATTTATCTTCTAGTTTGTGCAATAATTTGCATAAATTGAACCTAAATGAAACAGCATGATTCTAGTTTGTGGCTCAGGAGATGGAGAGGCTTTAGGGTGCTGCAAATAAATAGAATTATTTGGTAGTTTTTATATCCCAGGCAGATTTTCCCTCTAAGTAGCTCTGTAAGATCATCAACTTCAGCTGTGTTGCACAGAGAGTAAATGGGCAAATGGATTGATCCTTTTCAGCTAACAAGTATAAAATGTTTGCTGGGTCCTAATTTCTCTACCAGTTCTGGTTAAGTTTGCCTTCCTTTTCCTCCTATGTATTGTAAGTTGTTCAAGTGTGCTTATAGTCCTTGTAAAGCTGCCCTCCTTTTTTTTATACCCTCATGACAATATCTTTGCTTAACCGCAATTGTAGAAATAAAATAAAATAAAGCAGCTGATCTATGCTAGTTTTCTTCTATCTTGCACTCTTTCACTCCAAAGAGTTAAGAAGAGCAAAGTGAACTGGAGAGATGGTCTCTAATATAGAGAGATCTCCCACTCAATAGCTACTGAAGAAAGCTGTGCTATGCTGCTGCTTGCCAAAGAATATCTGTTCTTTCATATAAAAGCCTTTCAGAGTTTCACTTCTTTATTTCCTTCTCTAGCAGTATTACCTGTACAAACAAAACTTGACACAGTGCAATATATTAACTAACTTCTGCTAGTCTGTCCAGTAAGTTTCATGATCTGTGTCTTTCTGGTGAAAAGTTATTTATCCCTTTCAAATGTCTTTCAGTTACTGCATTTCTACTACCTTTTACATGGGAATCATGTCTGTCAAAACAAATATATTTTAATGTAGTGTGAGATCCAACCCAGAAATGTCCACAAAGTTTCTTCCTAGTGGTAGTCATATGAAGAAGTGAGAGAAGTCTTGTTTGCTATTGCTTCGTTGTGGGCAGCTATTTATGAACTGTTAATGAACAGTTTTAGTTTATCAATTGCTTACTGAAGTCATGAATTTATCAAAAACCTAAATTGATCCCTGATGCCTTCTGTAAAGGATTGGCCATCTCAGAATATAAGTAATGCTCTTCATCCCCGTCGACTGTTTTATTGCTTAGAAAGAATTTTAACAAGATGCTGGTCATGATTTCCAGACCAGTCAGTGTCAAATGTGTACTTTCACTGGGAACTCCATCTTTTCTGCTTCCTGAACTGAATGGACACCTTCCTTTTACAATGTCTATTTCATTATTAAACAGTGATGCTAAGAAGAGTGATAGGATAATATACCACCTGGAGCTGTCGTATCACCAATGGATAAAAATAGGAGAGTCTGATCAAATTAGGCTCTTCTGTTAAGAAACTAGATGCTAGAATCATGACTGTGGATACCAAGCCATTCACAGGAGAGGGCTCTGGTGAACTGCATCTTAAGGGATGATGGAAACTCTGGGGCAACAGCAGATCAGAGTGACTGAGCTGCCTGGCTGCTCTTTCAGGATTTTCAGCTTCGTCTAAGGAAAAAGTGTGTCATGCTGAATCAAACACAGTATATATCTGCAAGAGATATCAAACACCTTAGGATTATGTACAAAAGTGAAACACCTTTCAAAGCGGGAATGTAATTTAATAGTCTGCAAAAAGATTCAGACAAAAGAGATGTTGAACACATCATTAAACTTAGTCATTAACAGATGCGCATCTCAGATGATTGATACACAGGATGAAAAATTTTTCGACTGATGGAAGCTAGGAGTTTCCAGAGGGAAGTGTTTGCAGTTAAAAATCTTCTATACCGAAGCAAACAATATATCACTGGACACTGATACAACTAACTCAGGTGACTGGTATGCCATGATAGTCTTCCAAAGAAGAAAGGGTAAGAAACAATGACCATTTTCAGAGTTGCCTACAGCCTCAAGTAAACTACTCTCAAAAGAAGTCTATTTATTTAGATTGTTCACAGCAAGCTCCTGGAAGAAAATCTGCTAAGCAGATATTCAGTCATCTCTTCACACCTTGAAGTGTTAGAGGCTTAAGCTCCAGTTCTCCAAGTCTGTTCACTTGAAGGTTGTACTGATGGTCCTTTCAAAGCAGCTCAATATCACTAGAGAAACTTTCTTTCTGAATATCGTTCACCTTCTTCTTTTAATATTCAACTAGCTTTTAAAGCCCCTGCAGCATTTCTGATTGGTGGACGGATTATATTCTAAATGCTGCCTAGTGATTGACTTGGGACAATTGTCTCTTCCTTTATTCTTTTCTAACCAAAAGAGATTGGTGGTCGTCTCTTCTCACTCCAGTGCATGAAGTTACTACCACTGTGCGCTAGTAAGGCTTTTCAAGAAACGCATTCCACAATAGGCATTCAGTGTTTTCCTGCAATTTTGGAAATGACTGTATCTGCAATGTGAATAGAATAGGCAGAATTAAACTCCACACTGCTGTAGGTAATTCTGAACAACCAGTTTCTGTATCAAAAAAGGAGAAATAGTGTTCAGATGTGAAGGAGTGGTTATTCTGAAGAAAAATAGCTATTTTATTTATCAATTTATGATAACTTTGAATGGCAAGCTCACAAACACTGTAAATTTTGCTTCAATTTTGATGAAAAAGTTTTCATTTGCTTAATATTCCTACCTTCCATTTCCACCACATTTTGTTGAACATGATTTAAAGTCATAAGAATAATAAATGGCTTTTCTGCTCAAAAACCTACACCTTTGTGGCTGTTCTACTGATGCATCTTTATTTTTAGATACGAGAGGTAGGATTTATCAGGCAGTAATGAATAGAAATTCCATTTACCTACTGCATGACAGTATTATGAAAATGTTTACAATAAAACTGGTCTGTAGGTTTTTTCATTTTTGTAGCAAATACAGAATTTTCTTCCCTTTGATACAGATTGCTTTCAGTGCAGAAGAGTTTTTCTTCTGGTTACATGGTATCAAAATTATGTTTCAAAGAAAAATGAGAAAAGGCAGTGCAATAGTCCAAAATCGTTTAGCTTCTTTCTAAAGGAGTTATCCATAAATCTTCATGACAGCTGTGTGTTCGATGTTTCTTTTTAAAATAAATCTTCTCATACAAGGGAAGGGAGGAATGAGCAAGTAACCAAAGTCTGTCTATACTGAGAAAAAACATTAGAACAGGAAAAGGTAGGTTCTGGATAGTCTGTTTCAAGCAGTGAACTTTTTAAATGTTATTATTATTTTTTGTATTGAAAGAGATCAGTGTACAGAATTTCCATTAATATTGTGCATCCAATGCAGGGCAAACCACTTAACTACATGTTTAGCTGGAAGTCTGTGGGTTTCCATTTAGATTTTGCCAGCTGTTAAGTGCGCCGATACAGAAGATGTGTTAACTACCTGCATTTGTAACATTTGAAAATATTAAACATCTTGACTTCAGAAGGACAACTTATATGCTTACAGGTATATGAGTAAAGTCTGCTAAAACTCACTGAAAAAAAAAAAAAGAAGAATGCTGATTGGGGGGAAAGGAAAGGAAAAGGAAGGAGGGAAAGGGAAAAGGAAAGGAAAAAGGAAAGGAAAGAGCTTACTAAGTTTTCCTTATATTTGCCTGTCTTGACCTTGCCATTCTGCTTTGCCAGCCTTTCTAATTTCATTGTTTCATATAGGCAACAACAGTCTATGTTGTCCAAGTCAGTGCTCGCAAAGGGGTTCTCTTTCTTTTCTCTCTTGTTGAATGCAGATGTCTCAATGGTAATATAGTTTGCCTTTCATGAAAGGTTGAGCAGGGTTTTGATGTGCTCACAGGACTTGAATTCCATTCTGATGCACTGTAAGAGATTTTTCCAAATGTGTTAGCCAGAAATAATTGTTTGACTGAAATAGCAACAGGAGCAACGTTCTGAAAATCATACAATGAATACTCTTCAGTGTGTCCTTATTCATGTTTTTTAGCCTTGGTTTCTCTGCCCGTATAAAGCAAATATGACCTTTTAATTGATACACAAGTCCGCAGTACAAAGTCATAAGGATTCAAAAGATTCTGTGCTAGTAAAAGAATGTTCAAGGTTTTTTGAAGTATAAGGGTGCAAAATTGCTGCATATTATTGTACTACATTGCTAACTCTCTCAGGGAAAGTAGCATGGCCAGACAACTTACAGGCCGTTTAGGTTATGCTTGGTATCTAGAACAAATGATTAGAGTATCAATTTGTAAGTACCTGGGGGGATAACAAGGTGATAAGAAACAGCCAACATAAATTTGTCAAGAACAAATCATGTCAAACCAATCTAATCTTCTTCTTTGACAGGATAATTGGCCTAATGGATAATGGTGAATAGGTGTGATATATTTTGGCTTTAATAAGGGTTGATACAGTTCTATGTGACAGCCTTATAAAGTAAGTAGGGAAATGTGGTTCAGATGAAATATTTAAAAGCTAGTTACACAATAGTTTGAAAAACTGTACACAAAGTAGCTTCTGGTGGTTTGTTGTCAAAACTAAAGATTGCTACAAGTCAGGAAATGCAGGAGTCTCTTCTGTGTCTGGTACTACTTTGAATTTTCATTAACAACGTATGTGACAAAATCAAGAATGCACATGCTGTGTTTGTGGATGGTACCATGTGAGGAATGGCAAAGTACAGGACTGCAATGCAAAGTGATATTCATCAGCTGAAGAAAAATAATCTGGAATTCAGACTAATGCAGTAGATACAAATATAAAACTACTGTGCTTAGTCTGGAAAAATCAAATATACAAGTAGTGAAATGATAAATGTTTGGCTTACTGGGCAAAGAGAAATTATAGTAAATCATAATCTGAATATAAGTCAACAAATGCTAACTGGGAAAGAAAGAAAAAATAAATAAATAAAACCAGAGTCAAACTAATCGTATTGGGTTTTTTGCTTGAGAGTGTTACAATTAACAATAGGTCAGTAAGTACTCTGCAGCATTTGAAATTAGTAATGCCTTAGATGAGGAGCTATTTACAGTAG